TTCTGAATTCATTGCTAAAAGGTTAAGAGAGGCTCTGAGTGTTGGAAGAGCAACAGTGAGTCATACTGCTGAGGAACTCACCACAGCGGCGAATCCCAATGGAAACAATTTACAGCTAATAGAGGTTCCGCAAACAATGTGGGGTTCATTATCTCAAAAAAGTGGACAGAGACAAATTTACAATGATCCATCAGTTGATCTCCCATCACATCATCATAAAAATACTAATGATCAAAATTTGGATACACGAAACTTAAAAACAACAACATCAGTATTACCATCATTGACTTCGGCAATTTCAAATGGAGCAAAAAATAAAGTGAATTCAGTTTCTGTGAGTGATTTTTCAACTTTAACTAACTAAAATTTAAAGTATAAAATTTCAGGCAGAGAGAATTATAAATGATGGACAGATATCAGAAAAAGGTATTTCTGAATTCACAGCTAAAAAGTTAAGAAAAGTTCTGATTGCTAAAATAACAACAGAGGATCAGGCTGCTGAGGAACTCACCCCAACTGTAAATCCTTATGGAAACAATTTACAGCTAATAGAAGTTCCGCAAATAATGTGGGGTTCTCAAAGAAGTGGAGACAGAAGGATGTACAATGATCCATCTACAGATCTCCCATCACATCACCATAACAATACTAATGATCAAAGTTTGGATACCCAAAACTTACAAACAACAACACCAATAATACCGCTGTTTAATGAAATCTGGCGTGATTATAAACATTACTTACATTTAATGGCGACCTTTCAACAGCGTTTATACATAGAAAGTCAAAACATTTCTGCTACAGAAGAGAAATTAAAATTTTGCGAAGAATTACTTTTACTTCGCCTGCCGAATATGCAGTCATTATTGTTAGGGAAGTATATACCAATTGAACATGCCTTGCAATTTATATCCAACTATATGCATTTGCTAATTCACTCTCAAATTTTATCTAAACGATTACCGACTTCATTATCTTCAAAATGCTCATCGATGAAGTGTCAAGACAGAATAAATCAGTTAATTCTGTCTACTTATCAGTTGAATCAAACTTCTTCAAATACGTCACAAGGAGATGTTAGAGCATTACTAAACTTTTTTGAACATCCTGATCAAATGGCGCTATCTTCACATCAACAGCTACAAATGCAAGCGTCACCACCTGGAAATTAGTAAGTTTGTCTATTGTAATTACAATAATTTCAAATTTCATACCAAAATTGTCACAATCATTTAATAGATTTTCTGGTAACAGTTTTGGAATAATAATGAAAATTGTTCAACGTATTCAAAGTACTGATAGCAAAAAGTATGCAAGAAATACTTTTTAAAATACAAGCATTTCAGATGAAGGATTAAAATTATCACCTTTTTGCTCACTATTTATTTACTTTTAACTATTAACTCATAAGTACGAGAAAATATAAATGATTTAAAAAGTACAGACTATTCTTTTTTCTTCAATGCAAAAAATAAAAGTACCTTTTGAATACTAAAATTCAAAAATAGAATCCATTTTGCGTTATTTATGCATCATTTCGCATGTTAATACAAGTTTCAATCGTACTTGTGTAGCATTTACGAACAGAATGCTCGCAAATTCGTCAAGTACTGATGGACTGTTTTAATTTGAAAAACTGATTTCAACTTTTATCATGTGCATTTATGTAGTGACTTGACTTTAATTCAAGAATAACTTTTCAGTTCGCACTCTTTCATCTCAGAGATTACATGCAAATTTTGCAGAACAAATATTTCTGACATATCAGAATAGTTGAACATATGATGTCAGATGTAATACATGGAAATTGACATGAATTAGAATTATCAAATATTCACTCATGCTTTTCTATCTGTATAATCCAGTTACTGTTCTGGAAGTTTTTGAACATCTACTCAACAAAACAAAATCACTGCTTATTGCAATATCCAAGGATGAAAAAATATGCTTTACTCTTCTTCATTTTCATTGTCTACTGTTTATTCGAAAGAATTCAAAAATACTCAAAAAAATGTCGTAATATCCAAAAAATATCGAAATTTATCAATTGATTGCTATAGATCACATCAAACCTTTGAGATATGACTGTTATACAACTATAACTTTGATTCAATTAAAAAAATAAGAGAATTTGGAACTAATCAATCAGAGAATACAAATTCATTGATGTTGATTCAACTTGTAATTTATATCCCAAATCTATTAATTCAAAGCTTATAGACCTTTCACCTTTTACTTGAATGAATCTGATCAAAAATATGATTTTTGTCCACTTAGCGTCGTTACATTTAAAATACATTATTTTACTTTTAAAATGTTTTTTATTGTGTTTACATTTCTTATTTGCATATTTATATTTGGCAAACTTTTTATCACCGTCAATATACACAGAAAAAGAATATAAAAGTAATGCGCAGGTGAACGGTGAAAGATTAAAAGTCAGCAACAAAACTGATATTCAATAAAAATTCTTACATGCAAAGAATAACCCTTCCTTTGCATTTCTCACATTTGTTTATTGTGACAAACACTTACGTAGACATCAACTAACAAATGGCAGACACTGTCATGCGTGTAAAATGACGCATAAAGTTGTTGAATTTACATCTGTGCATGTCGAAAATTAGCCTTTGATTCATTTTTACTACCGCTCATACAAATATCTGTCCATTTGTGTATTCATGACAAATATGTTCGAGGAAATGCAAGCATTCTAGCACTAAACTGTTCAGTACGTCTAAATTGATAACAGCTTTGTCATAGCAGTAGACTTAGTCTACCATAGAAGCTATTCTTTGCAATTTATTTCTGAGCATATTCTAAGAATCGGAAGAAACTTTGCTACAAAATGCATAACTTGTAAGAAAGATACGAAAGAAATTAGGAGTAATTATATAATGTAGTATGCTAGAATATTGTTAACTTTTAATCAGTTTCATCGAATAGAAATCGAAAGTGAAAATAATTATCTACTTTGGATTAAATTTATTTTTATGAATTCAGAAAATTAACAACATACAGAAAATTTTATTAATAGTTAATAAATTTAAATTATCTTAAATTCTCATTTTGGCGGGAAAACTAACTTGACTAATTTTCCTCAGTTTTATACAATTCTCAAGAACAAGTACAAATCATATCTAAACAGATCCGAGTGAAGAGTGAATGGAATAAAATGAAAGCAAAGAGTATTGCTTGTGTTTGATTTAAACTGAAACTACAAGCAGTCTTTGTCTGCGATAATTTAACTTAATTAATTTCTGAATCTTGCAATGATTTCTATCGCTGAAAGTAATTAATTTACTTATTCTGAGTCTGTCGATTCATAGATATGACCTACGACCCTCTGTAATTGTAATAAAAAATTAGATTGGATATAAGATTATACTAATAGAATATAACTTAATAGTCAAATGACCAATTTTATAGCAACAAAAACACTTCCATTGCGGAATTATCAAAAAATAACGTCTAATTTTTTAACATTATTTCAAGTAATTTAATTTCAAATCACACGAATAAAAATGATAAAAGGCGTAGCACTGCTTGATTTTTGTATTCGGAGAAATGAATCCGTGAAAATGCTTGCATTCTTAAAGAAGTAAATCTCTGAGCTGTTTTACTTCCAAAAATCGAAGCTATTAAATATGATACAGGCAAATCACTTCAGTCTGAAGTGATAACTGTTTGTTTTTTAGTTATTAATTTGAAATACACAGCAATGAATACTTCTAGACAAATATATAATTTCAAGACTTAGTTTTCTATTCATCTTTACTAAACTTATGTTTTCCATTTCCTAAGCTAATAATAGCTGTCCTTACTTGTGTGTGCTTTGTTTGGTTTACTTTGAAAATATCTAAATTCTTAAACTTCAAATATGAATTTAATAGACAAATTTCAAGTAATTTCAATAGTTATTCTTGGTGCACTATGGTTGCTCTCATACAGTGCTTAGTCAAACATTTATTTAACTCCTGGAAATATACAATATACAAAGTCACCAAATAAATGGTTATAACCTTTCATTAAAATTAATTCATTAATTAATAACACTTTTAAGAATCGAAGATTCCATGAAATCGATTAGGATACTGTATTTTAGAGCAACAAAAAATATGAATAATCCGAGAGGCACTATACATGCAATGATATTACCATTTTTGACAAAATTTTACAGTTATTAAATTATACTTTTAACATTATTTCAAGTAATTTAATTTCAAATCACACGAACCACACGTTGCAACTGACGTTTAATTAATAATTGCTCACAAATATTTTTGCAATCTTCAAGAGTTATATAGCTGGCTTCTCGAACTGCTACAAAATGCAGTTCTATCTCATTTAACAACGAAATGATCACTAAGAAGCTTATCGACAATATTATCACAATAAGATATTATCATGTATTGATTTTATATTGTTCAATTTCAATTGCGAGTAAATTACTGGTAATATTAGAAACTGGTATGATTATTTTCATCGCTTTGTTTCAAGCTTCTAAATTATTATTATCATCCATTTTCTTAATTACTTTTATCATTTAATCCAACAGAAAAAACTTACAGCGAACATATATTCTAATGTCATTTCAACGATAGCAAAAAGTTTCAATTATGTTTAGATGCTAAGTTTCACCAAAATGTACTGTTTTGCATTTTTATAAATGAAAACTTAAATTATTTGATACTTTTTCATTTGATTTCGATATAATGATATCCATTTTATTATCAAATTTTCCTTGCTGTGTTTTAAAATTAAAAATAGCATTTCAAAAATTTTCAAAAAATCACAAAGTAAAATGTAGAAAATTTTTTGTTAATTACAAAAAAGTGTAAATTCGAAAATATTTCAGACAGTTAAAAGCTATAAAGAAATATTTGTCGCCGTTGAATTTAGTGAATTTTAATTGAAAAAAGTGCTGTGCAATGCATGCAAATCTCGCTGATTTGTATTAAATACCCGAAGAAAAAGCCGCTTTCTACAAGTGTTAAATTAATTAAAAGATTAAAAAGTGATTCTAACACTTAAACTGGTATCAACTCGAGATGTGCGATACAAACTTGTGTAAAATATATTTTCAAATGGTCTATATACTTTTTTTTTGCACTAAAGAAATCATTACTAAAATTTAAATATGAAATTGAATATTTGTCATCAAGTTTATACCACTTAAAAATATTTGCATGTGATGTCTTTAGAGCTATTTTTTCAAATGCTCATTTCTATATATATATATATATATATATAGAAATGGTTTTTAACTTATAAAATTAAAACTTAATATAACATTTGTGCAAAGTGGATGAGTGCCAGCAAAGACAAAAATTAAAATAATATGCAGATTTTTATCCAAGTGAAAAACAAAATGATATGCAATCACAGGAAATTTAGGAAAAGTTGTGCATAATCTAGTAAAGATTCTAATGCATTGTTTATGCAAAATTAAATTGAACAGTACTATAGGAGTGAATTTTGAAGAAAGCTAATCAAATAATTGATTTAATTAATATAATATTTATTCAAGAAAAGCAATAGAATAAACTAATATACTAAATTGCTGTGTATTTAACTTAATTTGTATATTTAATTCGAATATGAGCGATGATCGAAGAGTAGATATATTAATTAACATATGAATATGCTATGGTACTCGGATTGATTAAATGACTATGTGAATTCTAAATTTTGATAAAGGAGCTGAAGATTTTAGTGTTTTATTTGTGTGATGACGCAATTATATGCTGATTGCGCAGAGATAAGAGTGATATTTTTCATTTCATTCTTAATTGATGGGATAACTTGAACGTTGAATATGTGTGGCGCGTTCCTAAAATTGTAATTAAAATTATAAACAATACAAGATTAATTCATTAATAAAGAATAAGAAATATTCGCTATATTTAGTTTATAAATTACGTATTGAATAAAGTATAGTGAAATTCAAATACTTCCATAAATAATTTTTTATTGTAAAAATTGAAAATTTATGTAGACTTTTATTGTATTTTACTTCGATGATTACTTTTCTCATTTATTTTGTACGATTACACTTTTTTTTTTGAATTATTTGACTATACATGTAATTTATATGTATTCCGAGATAGTCATAGTTATTTTTGGTAGTAATACTATTTACAGAGAAAATAACCTATGACATTACCTCTCCTTCCTTATTAAAGAGAATGGTTTGTACGTTGGAGCCTGTTCCAAAAGAGTCTTCTGCATCGTAGACCAATTGTTCTGGTGGATTGTGCATTCCTTGACCGTGTGCCCAAATCTAAATTTCACATCTTTTTCATAACCAAAATTTTAATTTAAAAAAATAAATGATCTCTTTTTTAAATAATTATTTAAAAATTGTGAATTTGTAAGCAACTAAAGACATTTTTTTGCATGAATTTTTGAAAACTTTTCAAAATTTGAAATTTATACAATTATATATTCTGTTTTCAAACACAATGTATTTATCGAGATTACAATTTACCTTGACAGATTTTCCAGGTTTTAAGATAAAATCTCTTGGAAGAGTATAAATGATTTCTCGTTTACCATCGATCTTTCTTTTTATTTTCCATTCACCAATGGCTTCTTCCTTCGAACGATGTGTATTTTCTAACAGAATATATTTACCGTCAGGAGAAGCATCCTACAACTTGATATTAATGCACGGATTATAATTTTGAACATAATAAATTTTTAAATTTAAATAAGATTAATTGTTTTTATCTAAAATTTTCTTTTCAAAATATTTCATTAAAAAAGTGTTAGTTACTTAATAAATAAATACTTGTATGGAAATGTTTCCTTTGGCAGAACGCTGAAAAGATGTACGACTAGCTGTTTCACCTTTCAATACTCGAACACTCTCTAAAAAAAATAAAGAATTAACATTTTTGCATTTATAACTTTTGTTGATTTTATAAATAAAATTCAATTTGGTACAATATTATTGCTATTTTTGAAAGTATAAAGGAAGTAAAAGAATTAAACAATACGTTAAAAAATATTATCACTTTCTATAAAAGATATGATTAAGCAAGACGAAGCAATAAATTCAAACCTGTTTCACCAACTTCAGTAAAGCCGTGAGTTTTCACGACTTGTTCGACAAGTTGACGTAAGCCTGCACGATTTTCTTCGCCTTCGAGCATTTTTCGATAAATTGCAATTTCAGCGTCCAAAGTCTAAACAATTTTTAAAAATATTCCACAATATAATGCATATAAATCACCTTAACTTTAATATAATCTATTTTATTAGTATAATTTGGTATGTTTATTATTAGTTGTCTAACCTGTTTAGTATCAAGAAGCATTTGTAATTCCATCATCAGTGCTTGACATTCTTCACGCATTTTACGAATTTGTGCATCACGATCATTAAGAGCAGCTTCATAAGAGCGTTGGTCATCTTCCAGTTGGTAATTCAATTCTTGCATTTGTTTTTCTAGTAGCGAATTCTGCAATTTTAATTTATAGTCAAAAACAATACTAATAATTAAAATAGAGACAAAATTCAAATTTGTTTTCTACTATATTTTTTATAATGAACGGAAGAAATTTCAATTTTACAGTATTAGAGTATCATAAATAGTGGTATAATCTACAAAAGTATTATCTTACCTTGCGTATTAAAAAATTTTGCACATAATTATGTTAATACTGGTAATCAATAGAAAAGGATGACTTTTTAATAGCTCTTTAACAAGTTATTATTTTTATAATATTTATGTGTCATATATAAATGACGTGGAGTAATTTAAATATCAACTTGAAAGTACATAATTTTTCTGCACAATTCTTTTGATAATTTGATTTTTCAAATTATCAAAAGAATTATTTTGATAATTCTTTTGATAATTTGAAATCAAATAAATGATTTGTAATATGCAAATCAAATTATCAAAAATTTTGTTTACAGTTAAACAATTTCAAAATACTTACACGTCCCTCAAGATCAGCAAGTTTACCACGAAGCTCAGAAAGTTGTACACGGAGTCGCTTGACCTCTTCCTTAGCATAACCTTGTTCCATATTTTGTCTTGTTGATTGCGTTTGAATTTCTTGCACTTTCAGTTTATACCATGATTCCATATCGGTGCGATTCATACTACAAATCTGCAAACAAGAAAACAAATTTTGCTTCATTTATATCATAACTTTGATGAAGTATTTGTTTTAACAAGCTTTGTACCTGATCATATTCTGCCCGGATATCACGAATTGCTGACGATAGCTCATTTTTGAAGTATTCACGATTTTCAGATGTTGTATCACGAGCAGCCATTGCTTGCAAATCACCAATTTCTTGATCATGAACACGTCGCATAAAATCGATCTCTTCCAGTAATGTCTGTACTTGATTTTGGTAATCAATACGATTCAAGGTTTCCTGATCCAAATCCTGAAAATAAATTGTTTTTTAGTAATAAATTTTCTCTGTCTTTAAAATTAAGCAAAAAATTTTTTAAACAACCAAAACAATGCTCTGGTAATTGAAACAACTTTTTTTTTTAAACCTGCAAATATATCTGGATGTAAAACAAATTTTTCTTGGATTTGAATGCTTAACTTTGCTGCACTCAAAATCTGTTACAAATAGCATGTAATTAAGTAATAAAATCAAATGTTATTTACAATCACACAAAAGTCAAAGTTCAATCTTACCGATCTTGCTTTATTCAGTTCATTGACGAAATGTATGTTATCTTTCTTGATACGGCTAATTTCTTCTTCTAAATTGTTTATACGACGTCGCAAAAGATCCAGTTCAGCCTCAAGGGTAGATAACTTAGCCTGTAATTAAACTTTTTGCTTTTTCAGCTCTCTATTATTAGCTAAAATTTAGAGAACTGATTCAAAATTTGATTAGTCGCGTTGTAAATTTCAGAATAATGATCATACCTATAATCGTTACAGTAGCAATTACTATTGCTTTCATTAATGTTACTGTTATTGATTATATAGAAACCTTAATCTGTTACCAAACTTTTCAAAAATTTTCACGATTCAAAAATTTAGGATCTAAAAAGATCTCTCACAAGTTTGAAAATGATTTAAAAAAGATCCATTCAAATATATAACTTCAACCTTTCATTTCTAAAATTTTTTAAAAGAATTATGAACAAAAAAGGATCATAATTATTCTTATTATCATTCTTAAGAATTAGATGCCAAAAAATGATGACAAAAAAATTACACTTCTTTAATGCAGTTTTATTAGTATTTCTTCTCATGGAAATTGTTTTACTTTATTTGCTTTGTAAAACAGAAATAGTAGGTATTACTGCTTAAACTAAAAGTTAGATAAAATAAATTCCCAAAATTTTTTTTTAAAAAAAAACTGAAATTTTGAAATGAAAGAGTGAAATTTAAAGTTTACTAGTAATTCATCGATACGTTCACGATCATTCTGATGGCCTCGAAGTGCATCGTCATATCTACAAAATTAATTTATTATCGAAAATTCTTCAATTAAAAATTCCTGTTTGTATGAAACTTTTTTAAAATTCGAATATCTTACCTTTTTCTGTATTCAGCCACTTCATCTAAAAGTTTTCGAATCTGTTTTTCTAAATCTTCACGTTCGCTGTTCGTATCGTTTATTATTTTCCTTGCTTCCTAAAATAATTTTTTTTGAATAAAATATTTAATTTAATTTAATAATTTCGAATGGACCCCTACTTTTCAATTTTGCTTTCAAATACGACCTAATTACAAAATAAAACAGAAATAATTTAACAAAGTTAATAATGAAAAATAAAAATTCAAAAGTAATTCTGTCTTACTTGTAGCTCGCCTTCATACATTACACGAACGCTGACGGAATCTTTTCCCCAACGGCTGCGCAACAAATCCAAATCCGCGGCTAGTTTACGATTTTGAGCCTCGAGAAATCGTACCTAAATATTTATTATTTCCTTTTGTGCAAATTATTTAAACAATTCAACAGATTTTCCGATAATTTTTTTGCCTATTCTCATACAAATTATGAGAAATTCATTAGCTTTCAATATGATCACTGTAATAAATTTTAATTAAACCCTAATCATTTGTGCTGCTGAAAACAATTTATAATTAAACTACTTGTAAAATAAAAAATTTTCCAACAAACAAAATTTTGATAAGCATGAAAATTACTTTTTCTATGTAAGAAGCAAGACGATCATTTAAATCGCTCATTTCTTTTTTTTCACGTTCACGTGTATCGCGGATTGTTGACGCAGCACTCTGTCCAAAAGGTGATAGTCCACTACTATGCATTGATGATGAGCCAATTTCCGTAACAGTTTTCAGTATTCGACCACCGGATGCTAAAACTCATCAATTACATAAATTATCTCATAGCAAAGTTGAATTATTTTATAAAACAATCTTTTGTTATCTATTATGCTATGAAATACTTTTTTGAATCTAAAATAAATATTCTGATCCAAACTTTTTCCAAATTTGTTTAAAATAAGCAATTTTTGATAATTTTTTCAAATTTATTCATACAATAAATTTGATTTATAATGTAAGAGTACGTTTATTAATGTGCTTCAAATTTTTCTCAAGAATAAAAGCTCAATAAATCAAATACTAATTAAAAATAATTCTAATAAACTCACACATCGTTGTGCCATAAGTTGGACTTGACATTGGAAGTCCAGCATTCCGGCTGAAGGCCGGTCGGGCGGAAATTGTACTGCGATAGTTTGAAACCAAGAAATCATCCATTTCGCTAAACGTACTTTCACATTTAATAGTTCTAAGTGTCGACAGTGTAAGTATATTTCAAACGAATTGTATATTTCAAACGAATTATTCCAAGTAGACTGCTTAATTCTTTGAACAAACAATTTTAGGACTTGTTGCTAAGAACCATATTAAAGTTTCATTTCTTCAAAACTTGTGACAAACGTCAACAAACAAAATTTAAAAATCAAACATCAAGTTAATTTTTTAATTTTATTGCCACAAGATACATTTTGCTAATGTTTGATAATCCAATAATGTGTTTCAACTTATAATTCAAACTTCTATGTATAAGTAAGTCTTACTCAAGTTTGGAACTTACGCTCTGATGAATGTGTTTTAGGCATTTAATATTCATAACTTCAACCAATTGCTATAAAATTTAAGCTGATAAAAGTAAATAATCAGTTTATAACTCAAAAATCTAATTATCAAATAAATACAGAACAAATATAAATATAATCAAATTAATATAAATATAATCAAATTATCGAAAGAAAAATTTGAAGGTGAAATGCATGCACAATTGCTCATAAACAAATATGTTTTCCTGGAATCATTATAATTGCATCAAAGTTCACGTAATGTGATTTAATTATATGGTAGTAACATCAAACTGCGTATGCTTGAATAACTTTAAATAAAGTAAAAATATAAAGTTATTGAATCTGAATATAAATTAACTGTAACCTTAATTTGATATTTAATAATTCGTTTATCAGACAGTAACTTTATCTTTTGAATATATATTTTTATACTTCTAACTAATCAATTAACTCCATAACGTATACTTTTATACTCCCAACTAATTAATTTTATACTATTTTTGTTTCCTTTTCAAGGTGAAAAATATATATTTATCAGTTTTCAGAACGAAAACTGATAAAAAAATCGATTAAGTAAAAGATTTTTAAAATTGTTTATATTAAGTAATTACTGTTGAAGAAACATTTTTTACTGACTTCAGAATACATTATTAATTATTAGTAAAAATTTTATGTATAAATATATAATTGTCAAATGAGTAATTAAAATTACTAATTTTCATTTTGATCATTGATATTTTCTTGATATACCAAATTAATGAAAAGAAGCAATAACAATTAATACTATTGTAGAAAGCATAGCGATAGATAATGAGTAAGTCTGATCTACGTGTAAGCAAAAAATTTATTTGTGTAAAATATAATAATTACAATTGTTTCTGTATCCATAATTATTGCATAAGTGTACTAATAAATACTCAGTAACTTTGGTGTTATAAAAACATTTTTGAGCTCAAGAAACATTCAGTTTTTTTTAAACTGCAAAACTATATTTACTGATGAATACTTATTAGTTCAAGCAATAACTCTGTCAAAACTTTTCTGACTAACTCACTCGAAAAATATTCAAATAAATAATACTTTTACTACTTTCATCTACCTTAATTTATTTTTCAGACGAGTGTTGAAAAAATTGCTGCAGTGAAATGTTCAGAATTTGTCTGTCACTGCTTGCAGATGTTTTGAATTCACAAAAAGTAGCATGTGTGGGAGAATAAAATATTCAACACAGATGTTCTCAAAGCAACGATCTATCCTAATTCAATTATCTAATTAAGTCACTTCAATTGATTCCAATTCATATTAATTTAATTTATATTTCTCTTTGCTATTTTTTATCACTTGAATAATAAAAATATTTTCAACGATATTAAGCATAAATTTAAAATTCTAAACTTTGTAACATAATTTTTTAATTCAGTTTAATATTAGTGAAATGAGAAAAAAGATTGCAGTTGATTTTAGTATATTTTTTAGCATTTCAAGAGTGAAAAATGAATAGAAATGTTGAAAATTAGCAGATAAAGAAATATTTTGAATTCTTACTTTGAATAACTGATTAAAATATTAGTAGCTCAATGAAAATTATATACACAAAATTTATTCAAACATAATATTTCAATACTCTATTTAACTTATTCAAAAAACCTGATCGAAATAAATTAAAGGATTGAGAGGGATAATTTGAAATAAATTTCATACAATATAATAACTGCTACTTGCTCAACTAATAATTAAACATCGATCATCAACATTATTTTACGAAAAAATTAGCTTACTTATTGTTTGAATAGTTAAATAATCAAAGTTAGTAGTTAAGTAAAAGACAGTTTATTAATATTTTAATAGAGTATTTATAAATCAAAATTAATCAATCTGAAATTATAGATTAGTTTAGTAAACATCGAGCAATACTTTGAATGAATAAACAGAAATGTTTTGGAATAATATTTTAAAAAAAATTATTAAATAAGACTAATACAGTTTATTATTCAATAAATAATTGACTAAATCCTTTACTACTGCACTGATATCTTAAATAAGTAAACGAAATTCAATTTAGCTTAATTTTCTTATGAATGTGTAAGAATTTTATGTAAAGTAAGTCTCTAGGACATAAATATATAAGTTCTATTTTTTAAATATTTATAAGACAAGTTTTACAGACTTGAAAGCTGGCAAGAAAGATTACACTATAAGCAAATATTCATAAAATAGAATAAACTACTTAATGTCAACAAAAGAGTACAAAAATTTAAAGTGGTAGTACTTAAATAACTCAAATGATTTGCTGTACAAAATACTAAACAAAATTCCGGTTGACTGAATCAGTCATTTGTTTTTTAGCTTTTCAAATGATTTTCATCTATTACTTTGATTATTATTATTATTGTTTTTATGAATTACGAAAATTCGTAATTTTGAAGTGACACAAAAATCTGTGCAAAACTCTTTAAGATATGCAAATTGGACCAAAATTTGCAGTAAAGAAGTTTTTGATTTATGCTAATTTTCACTATTTACTTCATTTATACTATTTTTTAATATTCACTACTAATTTTATGTGAGAAATTTTTACTAATATTTTTTCATTTTAAATTATTTTTGTTAGCAGAATATTTTTTTTAATTTTTAAAACGTTTTCTAGTCTACTTTAATAAAATATTAACACTGCCGTTATTGCTACTGTTACTGTTATTGTCATAATCATTGTACTGTTTTTGTTTTTAATATTAGTAAAATGTT